AGTCCTGTATTTATTATCGGATGGAGGTAATGGCTTCCCCTGAATTTATTATGCGTAGGTATGCATCCCACATTATTTATTATCGATGGGATGTGCCCCCTGATTATTATCGAATAGGGTATGATGCCAATGATTTATTATCGATGGGTATGGCTCTCCTGATTTATTATCGATAGGCTATGATCCCTATGATTTATTATCGATGGGGTGTGCCCCCCTGATTTACTATCGATAGTATATGATTCCCATGATTTATTATCAATGGGTATGATCTCCCCTAATTTTATTATTGATGGGTATGCCCCCTGATTTATTATCGATGGGGTGTGCCTCCCTGATTTATTATCGATATGGTATGGTTCCTCTGGTTTCTGATCAATGTGGGCACAGGCCTATTGTGTGACAGTTTGGTGTCATGAGTTTCCGCACCCCTCAGGCACGCTTACCACCTACACCCCTCCCCTAGCTTACCACCTACACCCCTCCCCTAGCTTACCACCTACACCCCTTCCCTAGCTTACCACCTACACCCCTCCCCTAGCTTACCACCTACACTCCTCCCCTAGCTTACCACCTACACCCCTCCCCTAGCTTACTACCTACACTCCTCCCCTAGCTTACCACCTACACCCCTCCCCTAGCTTATTACCTACACCCCTTCCCTAGCTTACCACCTACACCCTTTTCCCTATCTTACCAGCTACAGGCCTCCCCACGTGTCTGCATTCAGTGCATTGTGTTGGATCGTTGCAACGCTTCCGTGCATCAGCTTCCACTGATTCGTGGCGTTTCTCGTCTCGATGTGTGCCACATTGTCTCAACATGCTCATAGGTGTCGCTGCTCACTCATCCCACGCCCATGTCTCCACAGCCATTCAGATGTCTCGGACGTCTCATAAGTGCGCTCAGATGTCTCACACGTGCACTGAGATGTTCCAGATGTCTGAACGTGCACTCAGATGTCTCATATGCACTCAGATATCTCAACGTGCTTCAATGTGCACTCAGAGCTCTCAGATGTGGTGTCTCAATGCACGTTTGGATATCTCATATGCGATGTCTCACTGCACGCTCGAAATGCGTAAAATCTTACCTCTAACGAACTTAGCTGTGACGAAGTAATTACCTGTGATTCATAAAATTACCTGTAGCTAATTTGCCTGTTTCGATAGTTAACCTAATCCCGGCCTATCGTTTGCTTGTTTCGGACCTGACCGCTCACACTGTCACACTTTGTTTGTGATGGACACTAATCATTATGGTAAGTGTATGCGTGCGTGCGTGCGTGCGTGCGTGCGTGCGTGCGCGCGTGTGTGCGTGCGTGCGTATGTGCGAGTATGCATGCGCGTCTGTGTGTCTGAGTACGAGTGGGTGTGTCGTGTGTGTGCGTGCGTGCCTGCGTGTGTGTGCATATGTGAGTATGGCGGCGTGCGTGTGCGTGATACTGCTTGTGCATGCGTGCGTGTATATGTTCTGCTTGTTCTGCTTACGCTTGCACTTTGCCTTGGTCTGTAGTCTGTACCCTTCAGCTGCTTCTGTGAATTGTGCCCACCACTCGCCCGGTGGCGCTGCTAGCAAACCACTCTATTCTGTTTTCTGCATGGCTTACCCCTCGACCCATACTCTCTCCGGCTTTCTCGCGAAGAGATCTTCTCGATTGGAAATCTTCTCACATTTTCTTGGGAAACTGCTGGAAAGCTACATGCTATTCACTGCCTTATGTACACGAATGTGCTACATACAAATATAGCCACCCTCTTCTACTGCCGCTCTATATTTATTTGTACACACATACGCACACACACACACACACACACACACACACACACGCGCGCGCACGGCAAGCGCGTAGCCAGGGGGGGTCCTGGGGGGTCATGGGGGTCCTAGGACCCCCCAATCAAAATCAAAATCTAAAAACAAATTCTCTTAAAAGCGCGTAGCTGGCCTAATCATTGTAGAGCTGCAGAAGAAATAGTATTGTCAACAAAACAACGTCTAAATTGATTTTAAAGCACTATCTTTACATTTAACTCAAAAATTTTTTTTTTTACCACCAGATCTCTCCCCCCCCCCCCTGGTGACCTGCTCGAGGTCCCACCCAATCCAAATTCCTGGCTACGCCCTTGGCGCACGGACGTACACACGTGTGGCTATACGGATGTGCCTATGCACTGCTTACCCTGTGCTTATCGTGTTTCGAGTTTATGCTTAAAACTTGGTGTTATTGTGCTCTCTCTTCTCTCTCTCTCTCTCTCTCTCTCTCTCTCTCTCTCTCTCTCTCTCTCTCTCTCTCTCTCTCTCTCTCTCTCTCTCTCTCTCTCTCTCTCTCTCTCTCTCTTCTCTCTCTCTCTCTCTCTCTCTCTCTCTCTCGCTCTCTGCTCTCTTCTCTCTCTCTCCATCTCTCTCTCTCTTTCTTTCCTCTCTCTCTCTCCTCTGCTCTCTCCTCTCGTCTTTCTCTCTCTCTCTCTCTCTTCTTCTCTCTCTCTCTCCATCTCTCTCTCTCTCTCTCTCTCTCTTCTCTCTCTCTCTCTCTCTCTCTCTGCTCTCTCTCTCTCTCTCTCTCTCTCCTCTTCTCTCTCTCTCCATCTCTCTCGTCTCTTTCTTTCTCTCTTCTCTCCTCTC